TCTACCGTACTCTCTCTCTCTCTCTCTCTCTCTCTCTCTCTCTCTCTCTCTCTCTCTCTCTCTCTCTCTCTCTCTCTCTCTCTCTCTCTCTCTCTCTCTCTCTCTCTCTCTCTCTCTCTCTCTCTCTCTCTCTCTCTCTCTCTGTGGCACGGGGAACGCTTGCAGACAGCACGAAATAATCTGGCACTCCACGGGTGAATTGGAGCAGGCTTGCAGGCGAAAGACATGATACGGGGTGTGGCCGACATGAAATACTTGTTTATCACACGGAATGCCAGATTTGACACGAAACACTTGCTGCTCGAGATAGCACGGAACGATCAACATGACATGAAATGTTTGCCGACAACACAGAACACTCGAGGTGATGCGAAATGCTTGCAGACAACACAGAATCCTTGTAGATGACACAGAATGCCTGTAAACAACACGGAATCCTTGTAGAAAACACGGAATGCTTGAAGTGACGTGGAATGCTTGGAGACAGTGCTGAACACTTACAGATGGCACGGATGAAGTTTCTGCTGTGGATCGGGAAGTCTGGCGATGCTGCGGAGATGGAATAGGCAATACAGCATGCGGTCGACCGATGTGGTTCACCCCCGGCTATTTCACTCACGCAGCCACTGCCTCGAGTCACCAACAGCGTCAGCGATATTGTTTGCCTTTCTATATTAATATCGCTAGACGGATGTGCAGATGGAGACATGAGATAGAGGGGGACATGGAAGGAGGGTCGATTCCCCGCAACACTGACTCTATGAGATTGTAAATTTGTATATACATTTTTATGGAATGGTTTCAGATGTGTGTGTGTGCGTGTGCGTGTGCGTGTGCGTGTGCGTGTGCGTGTGCGTGTGTGCGTGTGTGAGCTAGAATAAATAAAGACAAGAAAAAGACAAAGGAAGGAATTAAGTAGACAGGAGGAAAGGCAGTCTAGCATTTAATTTTTGGTAACATTAATCTTGAGAAATAGAGGTCGCTAGTAGCTAGTATGACGTGAACCTATATATACCGGCTGATTGCACCTACTCTGGTCGTTTTCCCGCCAACTCACCGGATGCGCCTCTTGTAAGTATACATACGCGCGATAACATCACTTACTACGTCAATACTGTTAGATTAAGATTTTACAAGATATAGATTGAAAATGAAATACAACTCTTTGTTCTTTCTCTGTAAACGATTGTTCGATTAAGATTGTACAAGATTATTATATTAAGTTAAATATATAAATGTTTCAGACGTTTTTCGTTAACCTGTTTGCTTCAATTCGTCAATTGTTCGTCGTCGTCTTTTTCTTGTTTTCAGTATGGGCAGTCATCGACGTGGTAGTTAATTGGTGCACGATGGAGTTGCAATTTCAGGTAAGAACATCACACTACTTTGCGAGTATTAATTGTGGAAGGTTGAAAATGAAAAACGAATCTATATTATTTCTTTGTAAACGCTTGTTCTATGTAAGATTTTACAAGATACAGAGGGTTAAATATATAACTACTCCAGAAGTTATCGTTTTTAGTTAATCTATGTTTGCTTCAATTCAGAAATTTTGTCAATTGTTTGTCGTCGCATTTTTATTGTTTTCAGTACATCATGGGGCCGTACATCATTCAGTAGGTACATCATTCATTCATTACGGACAGTCACCGATGCGATAGTTCATGGAGTTTCAATTGAAGGTAAACATTTTACACAAATTTACGAGTATTAATTGTAAAGCATTCGAGTAGTAAGTAGCTTGAAAAGGAAATGGAAATCTCTATTCTTTCTTCATAAACGCCCGGGCGTGAAGGGGTTAGGTACCGTTTAGTAAAAACTACCGTGTCGTGTAGTTTATACTAAATTCGAACTAAATTGTAAAGTGTAAGTTGTAAAGTACAGTTTTTAAAACGTATCTGGTGATCAATGGCTGCCCGAGAAGTTCTACGTCACCTTCACAACATGAGTAGGTAACTCGAGAAAATCACGTGATAAAAATGGCTTTATTCGATACCTGTAGTACACTCGAATTATTAAAGACCGGATATAAAACACTTACGCAGACGCACGTACACGCGAAAGCACGCACGAACACACACACGCGCGCGCGCACGTACATGCACGCACGGACGCACACACACACGCACACACACGCACACACACGCACGCGCACGCACACACACACGCACACACACGTACACACGTACACACGCGCGCACACACACGCACACATACATACACACCCACACGCACGCACACACACGCACACATATATACACACACACGCACACACACACACACACACACACACACACACACACACACACCACATGCCAACACAGCGCGCGCGCAGCGCAGCATGAGCGCGAGCGTTTGATTCGTTTAGTCTGCGGTTAATTAAGGGAACTGTTTTTCTCCAATATGCAAAATTATGGCAGACACTGGAAACTTTGCCCCGTTTAGAGAATATAACTGCCTCAAACGTTGTTTTCAATGCCAGAGACGTGACGTAGGAAGGAAAATGGCGCCAGCCTAAAATTACAAGTTTAAGTAAGGTTAATTGTGATGTAGTTCGAATATTAATGTCTATACAATGGATTCAGTACTTAATGGGACAGAAATTACGCTACATTGTGTTCCAAATGCAGACGTGATTTTTTTCTTGTGCCTCGCAGTTGTTCATTTACAGTGTCAAGTATAGAGAGAAAAAGTGTTAACGGGAGTTCCTACAACCTTGATTACAGCTCACTTCACAACACGCAGTGTGGTAACTCGATGATAAAACAACGGATGATGAAGAATGGCTTCATTCTATACAGTACACTCGATTATTAAAGTCCGGAGATAAACCTTATGCAGACGCACGGCAGCACGCTTAAAGAAAGCCAGCACGAAAAGAAAGACACACGAACACACACAGCACAACACACACAGCACACACATACACACACACACACAACACACACACACACACACACACGACGGCACGGACGCACGCACCACACACACACGGGGGGGGACCATGCGCGCGCAGGCCGCGCACGGACACACACACAGCACGCAACGCACAACGCACACGCACGACGCACCCGCACACGCACACGGCACACGTCACACGCAGCACGGCACGCGCGACGCGCATAACGCGCACACGCGCAGCACACATACACGCGACACATACACATAGGCACACACACACGAATCCACACACACCAACCACACACAACACACACATGAGCATGAAACGCATCTCTCGCAGATGCGCCAGCGACGCAGCGCACAGCTCATGCAAGCACATAACAACATGCAAAGAAGGCACGCAGTCACACAGCTTGGCAAACGGCACACACGAGCACACAAACGCGGCGCATATCGCACACGCGACACGAAGCATGTTTCGAATCGCGCAAGTTAACGCGTACTGTTCATTGTGTCTCTTATATGAGTATTTGCAGACAGGGGGAAGCAGCAGTATTTGAGGGGGGCGGGCTTTCCCCAGTATTATGTAGGCCTCCTGCGTTTTTGTCATGACCATGACTCGGGGGTGGGGGGAGGGTAGAAGAAGTGACTACTGTCCCTAAATTTTTGATGATAAAACTATATATACATACTGATTAAATGTCATATAGAAAAATGGTGCAAGTTGATGGCAAGTAAATTCGTGTAAATGTTAATATAAATATCGATAAATACGCAGTAATATAATAGAGGGTAAATTAACCGCTTCAGGCTTTAATTCTAGCCTACATGGCGTTTATTTGTTCTTGAACCGTTTATGTATCACCGTTGTCACAGCGGAATTTGCTTCGGGCTTCAATAACTTGTTCAAGTTACGCGCACCGGGTTATTCACTTAATATGTCAGTGTGTCAAGGTCATGTGTAACTCGATTCGTTTATCCTCCCCTCACCCCCACATGTTCAGGTCACGAAAGGATCTGCTAAGGAGAACAATCATGGGTGGGAAGGTGGCTCTGCTTTTGATTTTATAGTCAGGATTCCAGCGAAGAAGAAAGCAGTAGCATTTTAATCTTTGGCTAAAATAATTTTTTTTTTCAACCAACAAAATTAGTAATAAAATGTATTATATCACCATTTTGATCCTTCACACCCCGCTTACGTACGTGGCGCACGCAGTTTATAAATCGTGAATAAATTCAACGATAGTTTTGATCGTTGTTCAGGGTCTGCGGTTAGCTAGGCGTACTGGTTCATATGTGTCGTCAGTTCTATGAGATTTGCATACAGGGGGAGCCTTCGTTTTTTGTAATGAAGCATTGACTCGGGGGGGGGGGTG